GAGAACCCACACAGGGGAGGAACAGTCCACCAGTTGATTGGCTGGTACAACATTGGAAATGTGAGACTGATTGGCTCTGGTCTCCAATTTTGTATTGGTCAATTTAGATGCATGTTGTGCCACATAATGGTTCATATCATGCACACAGCAGCACAGACAGTAACAGACTAGTGTCAGCCACACACATACATTACACTTCAGTGCGCATTAAATTATTAAGTTAGTGCTTCAAAAGTTCCATAATAACTGTAAAGAGTTCTGTAACGGTTCAAGGACGGATTGCTGTACGTGACCTGACTTCAAACTTGGAAGCTGTAAGTGTTGACGTGTTTATTTTAAAGGTTAGCTAACTTGCCGTTAGCATATTGTGCGGCTAATGTGGCTAGCAGGCTCGGCGATGTTGGATTAATGTTGTACAGTCGAGAGAAAGCCTCATTTAAAGCTCACTAACGAGCTTAGTGTGTCTGATGCCTGCAACTGTTTTTCATGTTGCCTTCTGTAGAAATTTAATTTTAACGTTACTTCAGCACAGTGGTTAGTGGTGGACATCCTATTCTGTTCCGTACCAGTGTGTGTGCACGTTGCTGCGGCGTGTAAATTGACTTGATAGACAGGCCCTGAAGGTAACGATTGTTGACTAGCACCCAGCAGCTAGCTTGCTCTGACCATAAAGCTGCTGTTAGCGGCTCGCTGTGCAGCGAGGTGAGACACTCTTAGGCCCCCGTACTGCGTTTTTCTTTTTAAACGGAGACCTTTTGCTACGTTTGCACCTCCCGTCCACACTAAAACAGAGAAGTTTGGAAACGCTGCCGACCCACGTTTTGCGTTTCAAAACTCCGGAGGGCGTTTTAGTGAAGACGGGCCAAAACGGAGGACTTTAGAAACAATGACGCAGACGCTCGGCTCTCTGATTGGGTCTTAAAAGGTTTTTGACTTGGTATTTTTATTAAAATATTCTGTATCGTGCAAATAAGACTTACCTGCCTACACTTGTACTGTGCATGTCGCCGTTTACTTTGCGACGACTCCCAGTCTGTTTTCTGCCGCCACAGTCCCGTGTTACATTCAGCTCGTTATTGGTGCATGCAAAAAAAAAACTGGTGTGATTCTTTGTCTGCATTTCTTTATTCTTTCACCAAATCTTCTATAACTACGGAATCTGCTTCATGTTTACACCGGCACGCGCATGCCCAGTGCACCTGAACGGCCAATAGCTGTGCGTTTTCAGTCATTTGCTGGTGTGGACGGAGATCGTAATCGTTTTAATTCTCTGTTTGTAAACTAAAACGGAGCAGTGTGGACGGGGCCTTACTCTGCTATATGTTACCAAATTACTTCAATGATGAAAATGCAGAAAAATGTGGTAATACTGGATACTGCGCTTTTGAGCCCCAACATATTACCGCGGAGGAAATGACTTCACCGTGATGATTTTGATAATATAATTATATATATTAGTTCATTTTCTACTTAAACAAATAAACAAACCCCCTTTTGATTATCCCTGAGGTGCGCAAATAAAAAAAACATGATTTTAGTTTATTTAAAAATGAGATATCCTGATTACACACAAAAACAACCGTGATTTAGGATAATAAACACAAACAGAGATCTGTTTATGCAAAAGAACGCCTCAAGTATGTTGCACAGTTAAATCAGGAATTACATTTAATTTGACCTGCAGTCAATACTTGCATGCAGTTAAATGTATTCTCATAAATATGTCAACAGGACAAATTACGTAAAAGGACGTATTTATTTTACACTCTTTTCAAATTAGGGATCCAAATTATGGACCTGGATCCTTCAGTGCATGTGTCCCCCTCCACCACCGTCACCACTCAGGAGGGATGCGATTGTCTGCAGATCGATTATGAAGGGGTGGAGCTCCGGTGCACAAGCATCGCGTGTATGTCCGCGCTTCATCCACCTAACATCATCATTTTTGTTGCTTCAAACCAAAAAGAACGTCAGTGTCACGCTGTGTTAAATTTATTTATTAGCTTTTCTGTCAGAGTTTGTCATCCTTATTTTCATGCAGTCATTAGTATTAATATTAATAAAGGCCATTTCAATCACTATTTATAGGCAGCTATGGTTGTTAAGAGGGTGGCGCAGGGAGCTCGCTCTCCTGCGCCATGATGGTTTATGCCTCCTTCCATTTACCTCGGAAGTGCTGGGAATGACGTCCGGCCGAGTTGACCGGCTTCCAGTTACAAGTCAGAAAACCTCGCTCAGCCAGCCGTTGCTGACAACTAGTCAGGCTAACCATTGTTACCAACACCGGTAAAAAAACAAACACATTATGCAGTACATACTCATATTAAACACATTAGCAACATGTCCACAGACACTACTTTGTGTACCGCATTCTCTATGAGGTACTAATACACAGAAATGCTGATACACAGTATAAACTACAGCTTTCCCTAACTGTTTGTACACGGAGCTGCCATCTTGGATCAAGAAGCTAGAGGTAGTGCAGTTCTCCCAAGTTTCTGAATCTGATGCGTCTTAAGGGGTCGTTCCAACTGGAACACACCGTTATCATTAACAAACAGGTTTCTCTGCAGAGCAGCTCCTTCTGACCAGGCCATTACAGTCTGTACATTTTTCCCCATCAGAAATGTTCCAGTGAATAAAGAATATTTTGTTTCAGGTGTTTCCTACAATCAGGTGTTCATTCTTTTTTTATTTCAGCTGATTTATGAATTGTAGTAAACTTTTTGTAAACCAGTTACTAATAAAATGTGTAATGCTTTAATTAGGTGTGTTGATTCATCACTTGGAAAACCAAATAGTTATGGATATAATAAGTCATAACTGTAAGTAGTTTATAGATCATCTGCAGCAAATATTTGTAAAAGATCCAACTGTATTTAATCAAAATGCAGGAAGTAAAGTAAAAATGACACAAAGCATGTTTTCTTTCACTACACTGCCTGAATGTAATTAGCAGCTAGTAGACTTTTCCTTTTCTCAAGCTTAACAAATTAAGATTCTGTTGTATTTACAAACAGATCCAATACGTAAGTCCTGTTGTGTGTCCTGCGAGTCACATGCTACACTTTCTAAAGAGAGCCAGCCACTCAACAAGATGAAGATTATCCTTATCATGGGTTACCTAGGAGACGGACCACAGAGCGCTTCCACCTACCAAGCAGACTAAGAGAGGAAGAGTTTGACTTTCAATAATCCCATATATGTCTTATGTGGTGTAATATTTTCCACTAAGTGTACCGGTGTTTTATATAATTAACATCTGTGAGATTTTGGCTCATGCATGCTGCTTTTCCATGAGAAGTGAGTTTAAACCGTGGCTCACGGCTGAGAAGGTGTTTTCTCATAGACTCTACATTTATTCTCTAGCTTTCAATGTTTAGCCTGTTTTTCTTGGACTCTTTAATCCCCCTTCTGCCCTTCAACCGAATCACTCGCACTTGTTTCAATAAATATCACAAAGAAAACTGTTTGTTGTAACTAATGTATTTGTTAATTTCTTCACAAGGAAATATACAATTTCCACCACAGTTGTTTCGGAGAGTCACCAACCGTCTCTTTGGTTTAGCTCAGCAAACGATCCTGACCTGGGGAAACCTATTTGATTTTACCTTTAAAGACGGAAAATTCTAATGCCTGTCTGCACTTTTGTACTTTTTAAAACTGTACAAATTTACCCTCTGTCATCTGCAAAAAGATGCTGTAAAGTCAAAATCTAAAATCAGATCAATATCTGATGGGACCACAGCATCAGTTCTTCTAGGTACACCTGAACATGGTTATTGAAGGACCTCTGCAGGTAGTTTGACCCAAACATGTTGGAGAACTCCCTGCAGTCCCCCGCTGCTTCTCTCTCTTAATCCCAGACAGACTGGATGATGTTGAGATCAGGGCTCTGTGAGGGCCACACCATCACTTCTAGGACTATTTGTTATTCTTTAAGCTGAAGATAGTTGTTAATGACTTTTGCTCTATGTTTGTTGTCGTCATGCTGCAGAATAAATCTGGGCCCAATCAGATGCCTCCCTGATGGTACTGCATGATGGGTAAGTATCTGCCTGTACTTCTCAGCATTAATTCAGCCCCAAACCTGCAAGGAACCTCCACCATGCCTCACTCATTCTTGTACTGCTGTCTAGAAGGGAATTAAGCAGATCTTAGCCCCTCAGTGGAAGATACAGGTTCCCCAGGGTAAAAACCAACAGATTCAAATTTTACTTTGCATCTACAGCAATTAATGCCCTAAATCGCACCGAGCTTGAGCTGCTGACTACACTGCTCAGAAGCACCCTGTAGTGGTGAGGCTACCATTTCAACTGTTTGAGGACTTTCGGATGGACAAATAGATGATGTACTCTGTAATGTGTCATGTATGCTTGTTTTCAGTTTTTAGCCCTATTGTTATAGAATATATAGATTATATAATATAGAATTTCCCCACAAGGTATAACAATAAAAATTGAATTGAATTGAACTGAACTGACAGTAAGTAACTGACAGACCACTGTGTCTACTGTCATCAAAGTTGCCCCTTTCTTTGCGCTTCTTCAAAAGAGCTTTGATGGCACATCAAACCCCTCTTCTGGCTGGGACTGTGGAGCCCCCAAAGGGTCATGAATACAGATGGATGTGATGAGCACAAGAGTCTCTGATTTCCTGTTGCTTTGCACAGTATTGTTTACACTATGTTTGTTTGTGTAACCTGTAAAGCACATTAAACTGCTCTGGAGGATAAATTGTGCTGTAAAAATAAAGTCACATTGCCTTTCTTTCAGCATTTCCCACAAACGCTGATTCATTATATCATTTACAAATGGTGACATTTTTAATAGATAAAAATTATTGTAGGCTACATTTTGTTTTTCATGTGTGCAGTCTTTGCAAACAAAGAAACAAAAGTAACATGTTTTTTAAATTCTTAATATTAAAATGTAGGTTCGGTTGATGTTTGGGAGCATCTCAATAAACTGGTGGCGCATGCGTACAGAGGCTCTCTGGCTCTGCAGGTCGATATTGGCAAAATGGCCCGTTTCGAACAGACAATGAGCCTGTAAGTGAGGATCAACGTGTTTAAGTGGACTCTGTTTAAACTTTCGGGATGTTTCACCTCAGACTCACCTCCTGTTAGCCAAGAATGCTAAAGGAAGTTAGCTTGTTAGCAGGAAGTAGCCGGAGCCGGAGCTCGGCCTCACAGTCGGAGCAGCTTCCATAGAGACCAAACTGTATTTTTCACGGAGCCCAAATGTCCAAATGTCCAGATAGAGCTGTCTGAATAGACTCTGTGCTGTTCCCTTTATCTGAACATGTTTAACATCTGAATTATCTCCCGCTGTCCTACGAAGCTAATGCAGTTAGCTTAGCTTGCTAGCTGGAAACAGTCTGGAGGAAAAGCTGCTGTGAATCAGTAAAAATGTCTAAAGTGGAGAACGAGGAGGAACTTTGTGGACAACGCAAACTACTGGACGCTGTTTTCAAGCCTGAAGCAGGTTTGTACACTTTACTGCTTATTCTCACGGTAAACTGCTGGAAACCAGCTCCACTATAATAAGAGAGGTAGTTTATTGTCATATAAACAGCAGTGATGAATCAGTCAATGAAACTCTGTTCTGGGCCCATAAAACATGTTCATGAAAAGAAAATCACGCAGGTAAAAATAGTATAATATAATACTGTAGTCAGCCGGTGTACATTGGTCAGAAACTGTCATGTTGACAGGTTGTGCATTAACATAATGTGTACATGTGTTATGAAAACTGGTAATAGACAGGTAGTGCACATAAATCACACTGATGTTTAAACCAGAGGAATCAGAATCAGAAGGAGCTTTACTGCCAAGTAGTGTTTTACACATACAAGGAATTGTAATATGAACAATTGTAATTGTAATACAGCTTGTAATATAAAAGTGTTTATACAGAGATGGAAACAGGGAAAACCTTAAGGATGTGAAGTAATGATTATAATAATTTAAGGCTATTTTTGGGGCTTTTTGCCTTTGTTGGATAGCAGCTGAAGAGAGACGGAAGTTGGACAACATGCAGCAAACAGCCCTGGACTGCATACCAGGAGAGCTACCGTCCGCAAAAAGGCCAGAGCATGAGGAAATCAGCAAAAATCAAAGTTAATCAAAATCAGAGTTAAAAGGAGGGAGAAGAATACAGTTGTATGAACAAACAGAACACAGCCAAACAGGAGGGATATATGTTTACTTTCTATAAGGTTGTTTCTTATTTCACAATTTTAATTTTACCACATTCTCCACCTTATTTTAGTGCTTTAGTTTTATTCACTACTCGAATCTGCTCACTATGCTTTTCCCTTCAGTTCTCTTTTCCACACCTACACCTCTGCTTCAGACACACCTGCTTGCCCCTCGTCTCTCTGTTTCTCTCTCCCTCTCTGCTTAGTTGATTTTCTCCACCAGCAGCAGAGTTTTATAAAGTTGCCAAAAAACACAGATATCGTGTTTTGGATCTTCCCACCTGCGATTCCATTTTTCAGCAGCAGGTGTGCCGCGTGTGGACGAGCCTATCATCAGAGTTGTGATTGTCTTCACTTCCACCAGTGGCTTTCGTGGCCCTTGATTCCACCTTGGTTTTCCCCCTCTTTTCCAGAGGACATCCAATGTCTGTTCTGCTGTGTGATAGGCTTTTAGATCAAGTCATGTTGAGGAAAAAATGCCCAATTTTGTTATTGACACATTTGATAATGATCCTTTTCCTAATTTTCACCAAGCCCTCCTTCCACATATGTGTATACAAAGTGTGCATCATTTTCCCACATTTTTAAGAAAGTAGTGGTGTCACTGGTTTAAATGTTAACAGAAAGTTTTTGTATGTATTTCATTATTCTCCACAGACGTCCAGCTGCTGTTGGTGAGTGAAGAAGCGGTTCCCACTAAGCAACAGGAATGGAGCCCCAGTCGGGACCAGGAGGACCCACCAGAGCCGCCACACATTAAAGAGGAGTGGATCTCCGGTCTGGACCAGGAGGACCCAACAGAGCCGCCACACATTAAAGAGGAACAGGAGGAACTCTGGATCAGTCGGGACGGAGAGCAGTTACGAGGGCTGAAGGAGGCTGATATCATCAAGTTCACATTCACTCCTGTCCCTGTGAAGAGTGAAGAAGATGTGACAGACTGTGATAGACATTTACAACTAGATACTGATGACAAAATGTCAGACTGCTCTGAACCTGAGACTGATGACAGTTGTAATTGGCATGAGACCAGGGAACCTCAGTCAGGTTTAAACCCTCTGCAAAATAATATTAAATGTAACACTGGTGAGAAATCATTTAGTTGCTCTGAGTGTGGTAAACTGTTCAGGCAAAACTCACAGCTGAAGAGACACATGATAATCCACACAGGAGAAAAACCTTTCCCATGTTCAGTTTGTACAAAACGTTTCGGTGACAGAGGCACTTTATCCAAACACATGAGAATCCACACAGGTGAGAAACCCTTCAGTTGTTCTGTATGTGGTAAAATATTCACACAAAACTCAACTTTGACCGAACACTTAAGAGTTCATACAGGAGAAAAACCTTTCACATGTTCAGTTTGTCAAACAAGTTTCAGTCTCAAAAACACTTTATCCAAACATATGAGAATCCACACAGGAGAGAAGCCCTTCAGTTGTTCTTTCTGTGGTAAAATATTTACACAAAACTCTACTTTGACTAAACACTTAAGAGTTCATACAGGAGAAAAACCTTTCACATGTTCAGTTTGCAAAGCAAGGTTCAGTAGCAGAAGCAATTTATCGCAACACATGAGAACCCACACAAGAGAGAAATCATTTAGTTGCAGCAGCTGTGATAAAAGTTTCACTGAGCTTAATGTTTTAAAAGACCACAAGTGTACTGGTTAGAGCAGTGTATGTAAATGAAGCTGCAGAGATGCTTGTTGAGCCAACAGGACTGAAGAACTGAGGGCAAGACTTGGCTCAACACTGATCAGTTCAGAACTGTGTGACAGACTACAAAATAAGCCACCTGATCATTTTCATTCTGTTTTCAGTTGGGTTTAGATTATTTAGTCGTTCTCGGGGTGCTTTATGGTATTACTTGTATTCATTGATTTTAAAATGGTCTAAAATTATTTTGCGCCACGTGTACAGCCCTGAAGTCAACATGTGTTGTTTTAATTGTGATTTACAATTGACTTGACTTACCTCACAACAACACAGTTTATTTCTAATTGAATGGACTCTCCCAGTCTTGAATTGATCCCATTAGACGCTTTTCCACCAGAAGTACTTTTAATACCAGGATCTGCTTTTCAAGGAACTAAAAGGTTCCTTCAGCCCATTGTTGTGTGCGTTCCCACCGTGGTCTAAAGACCTGCGAAAATTAGGCTAATTAACCAGCTGAAGAAAAAGCGATGGCCATGCGTCGTTATTCATTAACCACGATCCGTGAGCAGAATTTATAATGAATATCTAATTTCATTGGAATATAATGAAAAACTAAAGGCTTAGCTTGACCAACAGCTTTTTTGTGTGGGAGTGCAATGAAGAGAGAATTTAATGACAAACTCTATAAATCCATCAAGTTCTTAGAAGAACTCTAGCACAGAGAAAGCAACACAAACCATAATGATGTGACAGTTTGGAAGGTTATGAAAACATTTCCAGCTGACAGGAGCTGCAGATCAGCTGCAGGACTCGCGTCTATGTCGCCTGAGTGTCGGAGGAACAGGATTTTTAATGAGCTTTATTACCTGCTTTAATCAACTGGCCCATTTGTTTTGGAGAGGAGGAGACCGTCTTCAGCTGCTTGTAGAAACATCCTGACTGATGAAAACTTTAAACAATAAATGAGTCACAAATGAGTCCATCCTCACCTCCTCCATCACCATCTGGTACGCTGCTGCCACTGCCAGGGACAAGGGCAGGCTGCAGCGCATCATTCGCTCTGCAGAGAAGGTGATTGGCTGCAATCTTCCTTCTCTTCTGGACCTGTACGCCTCCAGGACTCTGAGGCGAGCAGGAAAGATCGCAGCTGACTCCTCGCACCCGGGACACAAACTGTTTCAGACTCTCCCCTCTGGCAGGAGGCTGCGGTCCATCAGGACCAAAAACTTTGCACCACAAAAACAGTTTCTTTCCGACTGCAGTTAGCCTCATTAACGAGGCGGGGCCCCCACTAACACCGACTCATGGCCCCCCCTCAAACACACACACTGCTGACCCCATGTTGGAACAACACTTAACGCTGAATTGAGAATTTCTGCACATACTTGTAATTATCCTGTTTTATTTGACATTATTTTTTCCTATAGTATTATGGTATTATTTTGTATACTTGTAAATTTTTGTTCTTTTGCCTTTTATGTATTTATATTTATGTTCATGTGTACTTTAAAGCACCAACATATACCACGGCAAATTATGTAGGTGAAAATGTACTTTGCATTCAGATTCTGGTTTGGACCCAGTATTAAGCGTTACAACACACTGCTGCACGCTGGCTGCTATTTCCAAGCTATAAATATAACACTGATGGACGAGCTCAGGCCATCGGCGAGACCTGTGTGCTATTTGACTGGTGATTATGATTTACTGGTTTGCAAATAATGGTGGGAAAAAAACACCTGAAATGCTTGAATTAAAGTGAGCAGCCTCTGGGCTTCACCATTCAGAAATTCACGGCAAGGCAAGCCCCATCCTCCCAAAGTACCAGTACTTTCAGAAAGTACTGCCCCCTGAGCAGGGACCTTTTTCAGGGGGTTAAAATAAAGACCCTGGAAATAAATTAAGACCCTGGTTCCCTGCGGTGGAAATGCAGTTGGTTCCTCCAAAGGTTCCCGGTTCTGGGGTATGATTCCTGCGGTGGGTAAAACATGAACAATTGATTGGTAAAATGCTCGTGCTGTATTTGTGTTTTTTCTCTCAAATCAAAAGTCTTTTAAAGCAGAGGTTTCCATACAGTACTCAGATTAGGGCTGTGCGAACTTGAATCACAATTTGGATTTTGGCTTCTAACCATAATAAGAATAAGTTAATCGAGATAAAACGATGGCTGTAGCTTAATTTAGAAGCTCACGTGTTATTTCACTCCTGATCCAACCAGGAGGGTTTCATGTTTGTTACGGTCTGTCCAAGTCTTCCTGTCTCTTTTTAGTTTTCTACTTCAGAGTATATCAAGCTAGAAGAAATAACTAGATGATGACTTCTTATTAACAAACGTTTCCTCTGCCAGATGTGTCCAGTTTGTAGTTGTAGGAATCAAAGTCTTGTTGTCAGTCCCTGATATGACGTGTCTGTGTTTACAGGACATCTAGTGGCTGAAAGTGGTCAAAGCAGGAACTGAAAGGACCTGCAAGTTCAATGTTACAGTGTCTTTGAATTGATCTTTAAAATCATCTGCTGTATAACAAAACAACAAACGCAAAAACAAACAACTTTTTATATTAAAAAGTAGGTCTTCTTTATAAATACAATATATATGCAGCCATATTCTTGCTACAAGAAAAGTTAAATTGTTTTTGCAAGAATATTTTTAAAATCTAAAAGGACCATGTTGCAGAATTCTGATTCAGTGCCGGAGAACTTTCAGCCCTGTAAGAGTAATATGATGCCGTCAGATTAAACAGTGAACACTAGAATATTACACACTGTCATAGTTATACTTAGAGTTGGCTGTATTACAATGTATTGTACATTATGCGTTTCTGTATTTTTTACTTTAATTTGTGGTATTTCTATATTTACTTCAGCAAAGAATCCACCATTATTCTACTATTATCAATTCTTAATAAACAGATAAGAGCGTGTAAATAAAACTTTGGTGACTTTTAATTTGAAAAAGTGTAAATTGTTACCGGAAGCAGGTGAACTTCCGGTTGCTAAGATGCTAATATTTTCCTTTCTGTCACCGTGAGATGCAGCCGGAGTTCAGCAGCAGAGCCTGCATGTGAGGATCAACGTGTTTAAGTGGACTCTGTTTAAACTTTCGGGATGTTTCACCTCAGACTCATCTCCTGTTAGCCAAGAATGCTAAAGGAAGTTAGCTTGTTAGCAGGAAGTAGCCGGAGCCGGAGCTCGGCCTCACAGTGTGTATTTTATCAGAGTGAGCTGCGTGTCTGTAACGGAGTGTGTCTGGAGGAAAAGCTGTTGTAAACATGTCTAAAGTCCAAACGCTGAGAGCTTTTGTCCAGCAGCGACTAAGTGCGGCTGCTGAAGAGATATTTGAGCTGTTTGAAAGAACGATAGCAGAGTACGAGGAGGAACTTTGTGGACAACGCAAACTACTGGACGCTGTTTTCAAGCCTGAAGTCCGGTTACACAGAGCAGGTTTGTGCACTTTACTGCTTATTCTCACTGGAAACTGCCTTTACTGCAGTAAAAGTACTAATACCACTCTGTGACATGTTACGTTGGCTTTCGTTGATCTTTCACTGGAGGCTCAGTCATGTGAACTAGGCTGAATATTTTAAATGAGATGTTTCTGCTCTTTGTAACATACAGTCATGCTGGGTTCACACACAACGCGAGTTTGTAACTGCCCTCGGTAGGTTGAGCCAGAGATGCCTCTGAGCTAGAGTCCAAGTCTCTGAGCTAGAGTCTCAAGTCTCAAGTCTCTGAGCTAGAGTCTCAAGTCTCTGAGCTAGAGTCTCAAGTCTCAAGTCTCTGAGCTAGAGTCTCAAGTCTCAAGTCTCTGAGCTAGAGTCTCAAGTCTCAAGTCTCTGAGCTAGAGTCTCAAGTCTCAAGTCTCTGAGCTAGAGTCTCAAGTCTCAAGTCTCTGAGCTAGAGTCTCAAGTCTCTGAGCTAGAGTCTCAAGTCTCTGAGCTAGAGTCCAAGTCTCAAGTCTCTGAGCTAGAGTCCAAGTCTCAAGTCTCTGAGCTAGAGTCCAAGTCTCAAGTCTCTGAGCTAGAGTCTCAAGTCTCTGAGCTAGAGTCTCAAGTCTCTGAGCTAGAGTCCAAGTCTCTGAGCTAGAGTCCAAGTCTCTGAGCTAGAGTCCAATTCTCAAGTCTCAAGTCTCTGAGCTAGAGTCTCAAGTCTCAAGTCTCTGAGCTAGAGTCTCAAGTCTCAAGTCTCTGAGCTAGAGTCTCAAGTCTCTGAGCTAGAGTCTCAAGTCTCTGAGCTAGAGTCTCAAGTCTCTGAGCTAGAGTCTCAAGTCTCTGAGCTAGAGTCTCAAGTCTCTGAGCTAGAGTCTCAAGTCTCTGAGCTAGAGTCCAAGTCTCAAGTCTCTGAGCTAGAGTCCAAGTCTCAAGTCTCTGAGCTAGAGTCCAAGTCTCAAGTCTCTGAGCTAGAGTCCAAGTCTCAAGTCTCTGAGCTAGAGTCTCAAGTCTCTGAGCTAGAGTCTCAAGTCTCTGAGCTAGAGTCTCAAGTCTCTGAGCTAGAGTCTCAAGTCTCTGAGCTAGAGTCTCAAGTCTCTGAGCTAGAGTCCAAGTCTCTGAGCTAGAGTCCAAGTCTCTGAGCTAGAGTCCAATTCTCAAGTCTCAAGTCTCTGAGCTAGAGTCTCAAGTCTCAAGTCTCTGAGCTAGAGTCTCAAGTCTCAAGTCTCTGAGCTAGAGTCTCAAGTCTCTGAGCTAGAGTCCAAGTCTCAAGTCTCTGAGCTAGAGTCTCAAGTCTCAAGTCTCTGAGCTAGAGTCTCAAGTCTCAAGTCTCTGAGCTAGAGTCCAAGTCTCAAGTCTCTTGTGGTTATAATGAATGTTGTTTCACCAAACCATTCAAAGCAGGCTGATTATAAAACTGCTTTGCTAGAAGGGATTCTGTAACTGTAACCTGTTTTTCACTTACAGAGCACAACCATGTGATGTGCAATGCAATTAATGACGACGTAAATGATTACGTTAATCGACCACCACAAGTTTGGCAAGTAAACAAACGCTCATTCATCTTTTCATAACAAACAAGAGTTAACCTCCAGTAGGTCGTACCTAAAGCAAGAAGCAAGCTAACGTTAGATGGCCAATGCTGAGCTAAACATGGTTACTAACCTATTTTGCGTTCAGCACTTCTTTGTTTGGGTCTTGTTGTATGAAGTTTTAAAGCTATGATGACTGGCTCAGCAGCTGCCGCTGTTCGTTGTCTCACGTGTGGCCGCGTGTTGCAGATGACGTGTTACGTATCAGACGTTTCCTAAAAATAAGCATTGTTCACGAGTCCCGCACCTCGAGTCCGAGTCGAGTCTGAAGTCTTTTGAGGACTAGTCTCAAGTTGAGTCTGAAGGCACTGTGTGTCCGATTTACGTCGGATTTGAGTCAGAAAGACGGCGTAGGTGACGGGGCTACGCAGATGCTACGCCGTCGCCTGATGGGCACCTCCTCCAAATGTACCTACACGTCGACACGGACCGTAAAGGCCCATTTATACTCCTGCGTAGGGTCTACGGCGTAGGTACGCACGTAGACCCTACGCAGGAGTAAGTATAGGAGTAAATGCGCAAATATATTGATTCACTGTGTTAGAGCCTAGTAAATGTTACTTCCAGTCGGCTCGGAGGCATTGCGAGGCTACCCAGCCGACCAATCACAGTGCTTATGGTCCGCATCGACTCGACGTGTAGTTACATTTTTGAGGTGCACGTCAGGCAGATTTGACGCAGAAGTATAAATTGCACTTTAGCTCTGACTTCAAGGGGAAAGTACATGAACACACAACAACATTACCAGGATTAAATAAATAATAGGGAAATTACATCGGTTAGAGGCTCTGAATTTCAAACACCTCTGTGTCTCTAGCGTGTGCTTTCAGAGAATCCAGTCCGACTGCAGGTGTTCATTGGTTCAAAAGTCTCCAAAGTAACTAGTAAGATAAGATGGTAAAACTGTAGATGATAAATGGTCTGTATTTGTTTAGCACCTTTCTAGTATTTGCGACCACTCAAAGAACTTTTACACATCACATTCACCTATTCACGCACTGATGTCAGAGGCTAAGGTGCCCGCTGCACATCCGAATGAAAATAATACACATTAACACACTCATTGCGAAGCCACTGTGGTTCAGTGTCTTGGAAAAAGTCAAAACCACTAAAGTGTTCCGTTATACCGTTGCTGTGGTATCGGACCCATTCTTTCACAAATGTTTGTGGAAGCAGGCTGCATGGCTCGATGCTTGATTTATGCACCTGTGGCCATGGAAGTGAACAGCTGAATTCAGTGATTCAGAAGGCTATCCTAAAACTCATAGTGTCTTATGTTGTTGCTAAAAAATAAAATATGTGTTCAGTGGGAAAAAAGATGAGATTTTTTACCCAGACAATTCAAAAGAACACATTTTAGAGCTGTAATCGCCAAACAGGCGATACTGTGAAACCGTGAAATTTTTGCTTAAGGTCATCATTCCGTCAACATCTCATTACGATACCTACACACTGTATACAATTGCAAATAGAATATGGGATCCATTCTATTTCTCCAAGGGCTGCACAATTAATCAAATAGTGATGGCGTTTACGATTTTAGCTTCACATAATTAAATGAACATGACCGACTGCGATGTCGCCGTTTGAAATGTGTGCTCCGCTCATGGAAAACATCAAGCGCTTCCTAAACTTACAAACAAGGGGCTGATTTGGC